ACATCCACATACAACTTTTACTTTAACATTCAGAATTAACGTGATGTAAATTTCAGCTAACAGATCAGGTCTGTGGTCAAACATCCCACAGAGCACATTAAAAAATGTAGTCAAGACAGATCTCATGGATTTCTCAGCAACCCACCCAGACAGTAGTGACATTGTGAGTCATTAAATCTTACTAAAACTTAGCCTGCTTTGCAGTGGATTCCAATTTTTCAAAGGTTTTTTTAAATTCTTGCCTGGCTAAACATTTCACTTGTGCCAATAATGATATTAGAATAAACTTAACAGTGTCTTATTAGCAATTCTCACACACATTAGACAGTAAGATAGCTAAAATTCTGCACACAGTGTTTCAAAACTGGAAACAGTCAGACCAATCCCCTCCCCCACCAATTGAAAATTCTGGAATTAAGAGCGATTATTCACACCATTGCTTTTAGTTCAATCAGAGATAGTGAAAATAAAATGGAGCATGTTTTAACTTTCAAGATTGCAGTTGTGTCTGCAATAAAAGGGATGATTGCCAGAGGAAGTTGCAAAGGATTTCAAAACAGTGACCCTCAGATTCTCCCAGGCTGACCATTACCCATCCTTTGTCTGCCCAACAGCTGTTCTTTCTCTTTCTGGGCTTCATCTCCAACTATGGTTTACTCCTTTCCCCTCAACCCACTCCATTTTCTACATATATACCATATACCAATCCATTTCCCAGCTACAATCAGTTCTGAGGAAGAGTCACTGGACCCAAAACATTAACTCTGCTTTCTCTGTTAAGTTTTTTCATTAATTTCCGCTTCTTATTTCTGAAGAAGGGTCTAGGCCCGAAACGTCGGCTTTCCTGCTCCGCTGATGCTGCTTGGCCTGCTGTGTTCATCCAGCTCTACACCTTGTTATCTCAGATTCTCCAGCATCTACAGTTCCTACTATCTCTGAAACGGGAGCTCAAGATCATTTCTGCAGACAGAATGCAGAGGTTCTGCAAAGCGGTCACTCAGTGTCTCCCCAGTGTAGAGGAGACTATCAGTCCTGATCTGCACCAAGCACTGATGCTCCTCCCAGATCCATGCTCACCCACTCTGAATGCTCACAGGCAACAGCAAGGGTTCGAGGGTCGGCCCTCCTCTGATTGGCTTATTCGCACAGGGCTGAAAGTCCACTTGAAAAATAGCATTCTCAACTGTGACGAGTGGAACCCAGTCTTTGAGCTGCCAGCATACCACTGTCAACGATACTAGACAAGCTAATTTTTTTCTGTATGAGAACAGTCGCCGGAACTGTTCAGAAAGTAAATGACTTAAACTAGATCAACACGTTCATGTTACTGCTGGCTGGAAACATTCAGGTGTGTGTCTATGGTTCACAGGAGCTTTTTTTCAGGCACAGATTTCTCTATTTGGAAAGGTAGTCGGACACGAGGCATTTGTTGGGTCCAACGTTATGGTTGACAGTTTTTCAGTGAGATAACTTTCCAACATGGAAGACAATACTGGAAGTCTACTGAGTCGATGATGGTGAGAACGTTGGCCTGCAAGTTAGTTTTTGATGCAATCAGTTCTAAAAACGATGGTTATTTCGCCTTAAGGCATCTAGTGACCGAATTAGTGTTATTTTCTTTCAAATTTGCCCTCCTAGATTCGTTTATGTTTGCTCAGCTTCCATCAGATTTGGAAATGTTGCAGTGAAACTGAAGAAAGCTTAACGCTGTGATTTCTTTAAAAAAAATTACTATTTCGTAATCTGCAAGTGGTTGGTAAGGAGATATTCAAATAACTTTTTAAAAGCTGGAGCTAAATGAAGATCAGAATAAATCAGGAGTCGTATGTGTTATTTTGAAGTGCTGTATAACCTAAGTACCCGAACACTGTTGAACTGGACAAACCACTCGGTGTGTTTCTGATTACAGATACTCCCTATATGTTCCAGGTTTGATGATTTACTTGATCAATTTCTACAGTTAATTATTAAGCTCATTAGTGAACTACAGTACAAGGACACGTCTATAGTTCTCTGACACAGTGCAATTTACGTTTCCAATTCAAGAAAGAGAACTCTGTCTGAAGGCCAGGAATTGCATTGTTGGGGGGAACCTGGCTGCCTGTGGAAGGAAGTTTTGCTTTCCCGATTCCAGTGCCGCTGAGTGATATATCCCCCAATTTCTGTCGCCCGACGTCAGGAAAGAAGATTGGAAGGACAGTTCGACATGGCGCAAGCTGCAGAATTTACCGTCTTAGTGTTACTGCTCCTGCAGTTCATCCCATGTCACAAGTGTTCAAAACTATCTGACCTAAAAATATGTGGAGATCCTGAATGTGAAAGTAAGTGATCTTCTCTACAGTCGATGTTAAATCCTATTAGGACATTTGATTTCCAAGATTGGTAGAGATTTGAAAGCCACTAGATAAATTTTAGCAGTTTCCGGCAAGAAATATCGCGTGACAGTTCGCGTCCATATTATGAAAGGGATATCACTACTTTTGTCAGCATCCAGACCGACTTTCTCTTGTACAGTAATGTGTTTAATTTGAGTCAATAACGAGGCAGAAGGGTAAAACCAAGTTTAAAATTAAGTTCCACTACCACCAGGGTGTTAATTTCCAAGTATTACTGGCTTCTCCCTCATTAAATTTATCTTTTATTGATTTGAATTCAAAACGATTTGAATTTGTGCTTTGGCCTTTGCCCAGTTCTTTTGGGTCAATTAGAAGTAGATTTATCTTTTTTTTAATGCCACTCTCCAAATAAGACCATAAGAAGTAGGAACCGGAGTTCAGCCCCTGGAGCCTGCTCCACCATTCAGCAGGGTCAGGGCTGATCTGAAATTCCTCATGTCCACCTTCCTGCAGTTTTCCCATAGTCCTTGATTCCCCTACTCATCAAGAATCTATGTCAGCTTTAAATATACACCAGGCCTCTGCTCCCATACCTCGCTGTGGCAATGAGTTCCAAAGACTCTCTTGAGAGAAGAAGTTCCTCCTCATTCTCAGTCTTTATTTGGCACCCCTTTATTCTGAGACCAAGCCCTCTGGTCCTAGACTCTCCCATAAGGAGTAACATTCAGCATTTACCCTGTCAAATTCCCTAGGAATCCTAGATATACCACTTTGCTGTCTCATTTCAGTGTCTAAAACAGGGATTCCCATAGTGTGGGTTGTGCCCCCCTGCCCCCCAGTGGAGTCATGAGCTGAAATTTTGAGCTGTGCCCTCATAACAAGTCCCAGCACTCTCAAAAGTTTCTGAAGGGTCGAGACAAATTTCATGCCTCAAACTGTGGTCATGTGGGAACAGCTTGGAGAAGGAATGGTCTAAGAATCAAATATTTGAATATTTCTGAACAAAAACATGTTTTGTCCAAACTTTTCATCTTGTTGTACTCATCAGGAAAATTCACAAGAAATGCCAATGAAAAGGAAAACAGCATTTATATTGTGGACTCTGAATGGTAACGGGGTTGCCATGGAGAGTGTAGCTGTTAGATAATGACAGTTAACTGCCAAGCTTTGTTTACATTTTGAACCTGTAGTTTTACTCTGATTGCAAGGCATTACCCTAAGAAATTAACCAAAGAATGACTGCCAACTGTTTGTGGAGTTGTAACGTATACATTACATGTACATGCTCTTTCTAAATGCAAATATGGGGAGGCAATGGCACAGTGGTATTGTAACCAAACTAGTAATCCAGAGACATAGGTAATGTTTTGATACCCTGGGAAAGAATCCCACCATGGAATCTGAATTCAGTAAAATCTTGAGTTAAAAGTCTAACAAAGATCGTGAAACTGTTGTCAAATGTAAAAATGGTAAAAACCCGTTTTGTTCAGTAATCACTTTTAGGAAAGGAAACTCCCATTCTTATTTGAGAGATAGTAGGAACTGCAGATGCTGGAGAATCTGAAGTTCTGAATCTTTTTCTGAAGAAGGGTCTAGGCCCAAAACGTCAGCTTTCCTGCTCCTCTAATGCTGCTTGGCCTGCTGTGTTCATCCAGCTCTACACCTTGTTATCTCCCATTCTTATTTGGTCTGGCCTACATGTGACTTCAGACCCACAACAATGTGGTTGACTCTTAACTGCCCTTTACCCAATGGCAAACTCAATCCTGTCAACTCTGAATCACATCCTTACCAATATTTGAGGTCTTGTGCCAAAATTGGGTGATCTGATTCACACATTAGTCAAGCAAGAGCCTGACATAGTCATAATGTCCCAACAACACCATCACCATCCCTGGGCATATCCTATCCTACTGGCAGGGTGACCCATGATATGGTGATAAACAGTCAGGAGGGAGTTGCCCTGGGAATACTCAACATTGACTCTGGACTCCATGAATTCTCATGGCATAAGGTCAAACACAGGCCAGGAAACCTTCAGCTGATTATCACCCCTCTCATCTGACAAATCAGTAGTTGTCCATGTTGAACACTGTTGTGGTGTTCACTGTCCATTACCAAAGTAGCTCGGCAGCAGCACTACTGACTGAG